ATGTCAAATTGTGAGACCATTAATCGGCTGAACAGCTTTACTCAAAGCAGTGTCCATATGGGTAGACATGGACAACAAGACCAAAAAAATCCCATTCAGCACATGCAAAAAGATGTAAACGGAGACCACTGTAAATGATACTGTACAGTCAAGCAACGTGCCCTTTGCTGGATTTCACTGCTACTGAAAATGGTTTTCCCAGCTTTACCAGTCAGTTCCAGCTCATTAAATCCCTGCCTTGCACAGGGCTGCGTATGCAGATTGCAGCTTTTAGTTCATGCTGATCCTGAGCAGTGCTGAGCAGAGCGAGCGTACAAAACACAAGCGAGTACCGAAGCACTCACGCATTCATATAGCAGGTGAAGTTGCAGACGTTTGTTCAGGGGATTGGCAGCATTATAACATGATTTTGAATGACTTGGTATAAACCATCACTTTATGACATTAGTCTACTCTGCCTGCTAAGAAGTACGCTGGGATCCTGCAAATTTCTGGCCTGAGTCAGTGTTTGATCCACCTGTACCTACGATACCAGTCAGTGCTTAGAAGAGATGCTGGTAGGCATGTATGATGTTAGACAAAGCCTTATTCCACCCGGCAAACCCAGGAGTTGGTGTCTTGGCGGAGCACGTGAGCCCAGTTCAGGTGCTGATGAGGTTGAGGAAGCTCCACTGGGTGGCATTTTTCACTTTGCACATGCATGCAAGTTGTACTCCATGGGATTTAGACGCAGCATCCGAAGTGTAACATATGTAAATTAAGTCACTATATAACAGGTTTCCTGTTCTCTTTTGCTTGTAAGAGGGGACTGAGATTGGACCTGGGAGCTGTGTGATGCACTAGAGAGTACCCACACCCTGCCTACCCACCTCTATGCACCCCTCATGCCTTCGCTTCACAGCCTTACTAGTAACTCCCTTGCTTGACACTGGCATCGTGGAGGGGGGCCGGAGCAACCTGTGTGTATTTAAGGGAAATCATACAAACACAGCAGGAGCTATTTTACTTACTGAAAAATACCCTCTTGTGACCTCTGGCTGATTTTATTTTAATAGTGCTTCAAACTCTGACAGTTCTGGTATCTATCAGAGAGATTGTGACAGAAATTGTTAAAAAGAAAAAAAAAAGAAGAAGACGACCACATAGGAAAAGAGGTAGGGGAAAGGGAATTGACACTCTTAATCCTAGTCAGCCCTCAGCTTTCTTAGCAAGGGTGGGTTGGGACAGAAGGGAAAAGGAGGAAGGAAAAACACCTTGTTGGAGGGATGGCCACTCAGCCAGGATCCTTCCCTAGCCAAGCCGTCACACATTCTCTGTTGGATGCAGTCCCTACGCTCTATGAAATCAGATGGATCTTAATCCTCACTCAGTTTGCACATACCTGAAAGCTTAGCTCCAGAAAATCTTTAAATACAAGGAATAAGAAGTACTGTACTGAATGTAGGGATTGTTTTCTGGACTTTCTCTGGCCATCGACTACGCTTGAAGATTTCTCCTTGCTTTGGGAAGTTTGGTGCCAGGAAATTCCAGCTTCTATCTTCAAGGAATTAACATAGCACAATGGATCAATACAGCTTTTCTGCATATATATACCTCCGTTGCTGTGCAACTAATGCTGCTCTGAAACAAGGCAGTTCCCTCTGTATTGGATAGATGTAAACCTCTTTGCTGTCTAATGCTATTGAAACCCTGGACCTCAGGAAGGGAACCCAAGCCCGCATGCAGGATCAGCCGCTGGGCAGTGGAGTTCACCATCCTGAAGACATCTCCAGAAATGGCCACCTCGGCACCCAAAGGCAGAAGCAGTGTCCTCCTTCTCCCTCTCTTGTGCTGCGTGGGAGGGCTTGGGAGATGAGCTTCTCAATAGACAAAGGCTAGTAGGTAAAGTTAGGGCAGAAGTAACTATTTTTGCTTCACCAACATCACACTGAGATAATATTATGTTTTTACACACGTATTGTGTACTCTCTGATATGACTCTGACTTCCTTTTATTTCATACCAACCAGTTCAGAAAGCAAGAAAACACTGGCAATATCACAGCTACTTTATGGTCAGTCCTTTAGCACTCACAGAGTTGATCCTCATTTTGCTGAAATAAATGGGAAGCCAGCAAGGGAACAGATCTGTGTGATGACAAATTTATGTAAAGTATTTTTAAATTAATTCTCTTTTCAATTATTGTCTTGTGCTGTACATACATTAATTTCAAATTTTCAGTAAAATGGGAAATAAGGTATCAAATCATGAAATCTTTCTCAGTAACTTTGTATAGATAAACTCAGACCTAACGAGTGCTGAAGCAGAAATGAAATAGCTTACCTCCATGAGCTACTAGTTCAAGCCAGACAAGAAAGGGGAAGAAATGATTGTAACCTAAAGCAATCCAGTTTTCCCTATATGTATGTACATGCTACTCCCAAAATGTCAATTTTTAAGATAGCAAGAAAAAGATAGAGCATTACCTATAACAAAATTAGTTTTTGAAGATGTTTGCCCATACTGTTGTTCAATATACTTTGGCTTATATGTCACCATGCCAATTAAAGAATTGAACTGAATGATACTTGCACACAAATACAGAATATAAACTGGATTCCCAAAGAGGTTCTTCAGCGACGGCAAGAAGTCTGCAAGACAAAATGGCAGAAATGACAACCAGGCCAGAGAGAGAATAAGTGCTTTGAATAATGCTTTGCGACATGTTTTCACCTTCCAACGAAGGACTGCAGAACATTTCAGAAGGAATCCATGAAGTTCCATGATGCTCCTAAGAGCTCCCCCATTTCTGGATGTGGGAACAGGGAGCAAAATACTAAGCATCAATTTCCCAGAAGAGGTAGCTTGTTTCATATATCTTCTTTTGATCATAAATCAGGACTGATGTGGTTTCCATGTGTCCTCAACAGCCACAGCATCTTTTAGCTTAATTCTGGGGGTAGACAGTGCTCAGCACAGCTCACAGGAAGCACAGACACAGTATGTTACAGATTGAAGTACTGAGCGAAAATACTTTTGGCAAAGTAGGGTCAAGGAAATGCAATTGTGCAAAACATCTTGTGTAAATCCAGATAACCTCCTAAAATACAGTGTCTAGTCTGTGCCCATCCTTATTCAGATCAGATGCCGTATGTGTTTTTCTAATGCATGATCTTAAAGAAAAAGGTTTAGCAAAAAACTGAGATTTTTTTGACCCTTACTTCTGCAACAGTCACTATGTGTGACTGAAAAGATTTTGCAGTTTCATGATATTTGCTGGGCCACTAGCATAATTTTTAAAATCTCAGATGGAGAAATTCTGCATTCAAGAGCAGGTCCAGGGAACCATGAAAAGACCCTTTTTGTGCATACTAGTTAGGTGGAGAATGACAGCTGAGGGGAAACAGTAATTCTGAGGCCATTAAAATATGATATTAGAAAATGACCTCAGAGAGTACAAAGTTTTAAAGTATAAAAATTAGTGAGAGAAAGACTCAAAGGTCAGGAGAAACTCTAGTGATTTACCTTTTGCCATCTCAGCAATCTTCACTTGCTGATAAGATTTGTGTTGGTCCCTGTTATCCTCAGTGATGAACTTTGATTGCTCAGAAGAGGTACTGGAGTCCTTTCTGCCCTCTGGTTTCGGGAGGTGCTTGGGCAGGAACCAGAAGGGGATGCCGGCCAGAACGCTGATCACACCTGCTATTAAGTAGCCCAGCCACCAGGCCCCCACCCACTGCACGTCCTTGTGAGTTATGGTCACACTGTCTGGAGAAAGCCAAAAAAAGGAGAAACAGGCCCTTTGCAGGGTCTTTCTCCAGAGGAGTCCACCCCCACCTCCCCAGGTTTAGCTGTGCTGGGTGTCTGTTGGTCTTACAGGAGCAATTGTAGGGAGGCAATAGGGACCTGGTGATTCCTGTGACACAGCAGCAGCCTTCCCCAACACCTCAGGGTCCCCAATCATGCAGCTTGCACATCCCCAGCAAAGCTGCAAGGCCCAAGACATGGGGTAGTCCAGGTGGCCATGCACTTGCTCCCTGTCAGGCTGCTCTGCACAAAATTCCAGGGAAAAACGGTGTGGAAAGATATTTTCCCAGGAGAAAGGCAATCAGGACCCCTGGTACCCATTGCAAGACTGCTATTCTAGGCAATGTAGCATACTGCAAACTGCACGTGCACAGCTCTCATCAGGATCCCGAGCCTCAGTCCTGCCTCCTCCTGGTGCCTGCTGTCCCCCCAGAGCCTCCTCATCAGGGCACCTCCTGGGGGGCACCAGCTGCATGTCTGCTGGGGCTGAGGAAGGGTCAGGCCTCCTATGTCCTCCATGCCCATCCTTCTTGCCAGCCTTTTCTGCATGGGGCATTGCACTGCTGTCCTCCTTTTCATTGCTCTACCCCCGCCAGCCCCCTATAGTCTAGGTAACTAGATAGTTCTTGGCCTTAAATAGGCATTTTGGAGCCTGACTGAATTTTTAAAACGTGAGTTTTCTGACTTACCCAGATCTACAAAGCCAATGTCAACATAAAGTTTGGCACACAGGGATCCTAGAAGAAAGCCAAATATTGGCCCTATGATTGCAACTGTCTGTACGCAGCCTGCAACAGAAAACAGGGGACTGTTACACTCCTGGGTTAAAAAGAGCACTGGTTCTCGCTGCACTTAACAGCAAAGTATGGCATGTCACAGGTAACAAGTGGTACAGCCTTAAAATACTGAGCCAACCTTTGCTGTCTGGCACATTGGTTACAAAAGTTAGAACATTTTCAAGAATTAAAAAGCCAAGAAAAAAATTTCCATCACTACATTGACACTTTTTTTGTTGTCAACCAATTAAAGAGTGAAATTCATCCCCACGGAAAAAAGGTCAGGGAACTTAATGGCCTAAACTCAGTAACAGCATCAATCTTTAATTGCTGGAAACTCTAGATTAAAGTAACTGGAAAGCAAGTGCCAACCATTTAAGTGAAGTGATCACTTTAAGCTGTCATAGGCCCTTTACTTTGGTACCCAATATTAACACGTTTCAATACGCCCTCAGCCAAACTTTCTGAATATTTTGAATTTTCAAAATTGATCTGGAAATCTGGGAAGACTGACTCTTTTACAGAGAAAATCTGAGTTTTTCCCTGTTGCCAGGCTGCAAAACTTGTCAAGACAAAATGTTGATGGTGAAGGACTTTTCTGGTAATATTTGAGGTGAATGTGCAGAGGTTTTCAGACAATGAACACGAGAAAAAAGTGATACCAAGTTTTTAAAGCCTCAGCACTATTTATAATTCTACCTGAATCTGGAGGGAATGTTTTGAGGGCCTGCTGAAATTCTATTTTAAGTACTTTAAAGAGTACATGTTTTTTTATCATTTTCCAGAGAACTGAATGTGCACAGAGGCTCAGCAGTCCACATCCAGAAGAATTAGGAAGATTAGGGTAACAGCAGGAACCTAAGGTCAAATTCTTTCCTCAAATTAAGATAATGGAACTGTGCTGGTATAATTAAAGGGAAACTTGGTCCCTTGAGCGTACATGACTGTTAAATAAACTTTAATATTGGAAATTATGCAAACAAAACAATCAGGGCAAGTTAGTTCAATAACACTCATTCCATTATTCAGTGTGACTCAGTTTCCGCTGGGGAAAAAATCATCAGGAAAAAAAAATTATTTTACCAATGTATAAGGCAGCATTCTCTTCAATGGCATAATCATCTATGTATGTAATTCCCAGAGGCTGGATAGGAGTTTCACCTATTCCACGCAAAAGATTCCCTAGTAGAACATAGATCCACATGGAAGAGCCTGCCTCTTTTTCACATCCTGGGTGCATCACAAGAGAGAAAACAATGATGTGTTTTTCATAACAGTTTGACACAATGCACAGGACTTCTAAAATACTTCCAATGTGGGAAAACCATTATGAAAACTGTGGAAAATGTTTTGTGGGGTGTGGGGATGGCAATTTTAGCCCAATCAGCTTGAGGTGGACACACGTTTAGCATGAACTGCTTCAGTCAAAGGTATTACAAGTTGGCCAGTTTTATAAATTTGTCACCACATCCCATTTTAGAAACCTTTTTCACTTCCTTCTAACCAGACCTGGGATCTCCTAATGGAAAAATATGGGAAGCTGTGACAACAATGAACACTACCAGTCACATCTATTCCACAGGTATGACGATGCAAACACGCATGTCTGTGACATATAGAGGGTTTGATTTGCTCATCCACAGCTCATTCATGGCCAGGCACTGGGGAGGAAGGCTCCTTGCTCGTGAGGAGCTCAACGGAGCCAGAGAGGAGACAGCTTTGTGGTGTGCAAACAGGGTCAGCGGGCAGGGAGAGAAACAAGAAGAGATATCTGTAGGCTGGGAGATCCAAGCAGCTATTTCCAGGGAGCTGAGGATCTAAAATCACATTTCCCAGCAGAGGGAAGACCATGATTTACCAAGGTCCCCATGGGAGATTGGTGTATCTACAAGCCATAAAGCTGCAGAAAGTTGGTGGAGGAGACAGCAAGGCTGGAGGAAAGGCTGCAGACTGAAAACACTCTTGTCAGTGGGCAGCGGCAGTTATATAATTATTTTTAATAAATTTGTCTCAGTCAGTCTACTGTCTCAGCCAGTAGACCTGGCTTTTCTATGTGAGAGATTCATCTGAATCCCATTTATTACATTTTTGCATCCTAATAAACAATTGCATGAGAGTTCTGATGTATTTTAGTGTGCTGATCACAATATTTCCCAGAGATCATTCTCACCTGCATTTAGTTTTGCTTGAGATTTTTCCAAGGCTGAGAGCGGAGTTTGGCTTTTGTCCTGCAGACATGGCGAGATGCTAACAGTCGCATTGACGTTGGAAGGGAATCTTTCATAGCGGTATCTGTTTACAAACCAAAGTTGATTTTTACTGTCCTAACTTGTAAAAAAAAGCAAACAGATCTGTTACCACCATGGCAGTTAGGCCCATACAACTTAAATGCAAAGTTCATCTGCATCCAGTGCTGTCAGTGATGCTTTACAGGGGATAAATGGAACTCAGTTGAGACTGGAAATTGTCCCTTTGTTTCTCTTCGTGTCATAGTGATGAATTCCAGTTTAACAGGCACTTTGCTGTGATGCATGAATCTGTACTAAGAGATTATCAGATAGTAGGTGTATCCTCTGGCTTGTGCTTGATATTCAGATTGTCTTCCTGAGTTTACTCATCACTTCATTACTGAAGGTTCAATAATTCTTAAACTGGGTCAGAATGTGGCCCACCAAGATCACAGACTCATAAAAGGACAAGTTCATTAAAACTGAAAGTAGCATATATGTTAAATATATATTTTTTTCATAAATAAAAAAAACCCTAAGTTGAGCAACCACATCCAGATATGCCTATCTCTATGGGCATCTTCACAGTCAATGCCTAAATCTTTCAGCGAGCTAACATTCAGGGTGCATAGCCTGGTTGGAAAATACCAATCACTTTGTGCTTACCGTCCCATGAAGAACTGGGGCATCGCAATCAGGAATGTTCCAGCTGACATAATTAAGCAGCCTACTCCAATTATTCTTGGCCTGTGAAGCTTCGCTCCAAAGTAGCTTACAAGAATTATGATTAGGAGGTTCCCTTTGAGAGTACAAAAGGAAAACTGAGTTTTATGGCTTGTTGATAAGAGATCCCCCAAAATAATGATTCCTAGTGTGTGGTATAGGCAGGGATTTCAGTGGAAGAGGTCTGATTGCATGGGGTTGGTGTTTCTCCCTCTTTCCAAGCATTCTTACAGAAGCCCTATGCCTTTTGTGATAAGAAGATGATATAAACTTTTGGTTAAGCAGCTGGAAAAGAGAAAGACTGTGCTGTCTGAAGTGATAAATAAGCAGGGCAGCAAGAAAAGGAATCAAACAGAGCTTTTTTTTCTTTTTTTTTTTAGGCTATGAATTGATTTCCATGAACACCACAGCTCACTGAACACCCCCAAGACAAATTCAGTAACCCAAAAGCGTAAGAGACCAGGTCTTGCTGGAAACCTTAGTGCAAGAGGGAAGGGGATGGACTGGACAATGAACACAGATTATAGCTAGAGGTTTGTACTCTTGCTGCTTAATAAATCACGAAGGGCAAACACTTGTGGGGGAGGTGGATTGCTGACAAAAGGAGAGTGAAAGCTGCAATCTGCAGAAGTGAATTCTCATTCAACACTCAAAATTTCTATTGATATTAATTAGCCAGACACTAAGCTTATTAAATGACAAAATATTTAGAACTATGCTAAATTGCTTGTATTAAGAACTCCATCCTATCCAGCGTAATCATACTGGCAGTCATGGTGAATCTTGCTCAGTTTTAATGGTTCAAAGAGATTCACACAATCATTTTTCACAACAAATTTACACCACTGTTTTTTTTCCAAAATAAAATTGGGTTTCTACAGCACATACCAATTTCGAAACTGCCATCAATAACGCCAACCAAAGATGAAGGGATATCAAATCTTCTTTCTATTTGTGTGATAGTACTTTTTAGATAACTTCCTGACAGTGCTTTAGCAAAATAAACAAAAGACAATGCACCAAGAAATATCTGTGAAAGAAATTGACAGTGATTAAAAACAGGCAGTACAGCAGGCTTTATTGTATGAATTATTTTAAAACAATTTTTACATTTCCCATACCAATAATGATATGAACTGAACGTGCTATCAGACACCTCTGATTTCAGATAGATGCCAAAGCTACTGATGCTTCGAAGGACAGAGACATCTATCACCCTCCTGATCTCTCTCACAATAACGGTAAGGGTAAATGTTAAGTGTGGCTCGATGGGGAGGCAAGTCGTGTGGCATTTTTTAACTTAGGCTTTTGCAATTGTCTGTATTTGAGAGTCCTGGTTTGGCCAGCTGTTCCCACTGAAGCCCAGGGTGCCTCCTGCTAGATGGCTTCATGAGTTGAACAGTGACCTGCCCAGAAATTCTCCTTTAGGCTCGTGCATTCCCCAGCAGATCTCTTGCATTCACTTTTGAGTGCACGCTGCACTTTGCTAAGGGGCAAACCTCTCTCGTCCTTTTGTTTTGCAGAGGCAGTTGTGTTCTCTTAGTTATCAATATATGTGTTTTAGTATGTTAGTCTGAATCAGGAGCGGGCTTGGGAAATGAAACTTCCACCCCCTTCACTGCACTTTGGTACATACTGCAACTCTGCAGACTGAATCCCTTTTACACAAAATTAAACTGGAAGATGCATTCCAGAAAGGCATTACATTGACTTCAACAGCCAATGGAATGATGAGACGAGCTGGTCTGAAATAACTCCTCACCCTGAAATGTGTGTAGAAGGAGCACAGGGTCCTTAGCATCAACTGTTTCACTCCCGCAAAGCTATTGCCTGTATTTGTCTTCACTGAATGAAGCCTTAGTGAGTTTAGGAGCTCCAGGGATACTCACACACCATGCAATTGGTCCTGGAGACTAAAACATTGCTTTCTACCTTCAGAGCTGGTCTGAAATAACTCCTCACCCTGAAATGTGTGTAGAAGGAGCACAGGGTCCTTAGCATCAACTGTTTCACTCCCGCAAAGCTATTGCCTGTATTTGTCTTCACTGAATGAAGCCTTAGTGAGTTTAGGAGCTCCAGGGATACTCACACACCATGCAATTGGTCCTGGAGACTAAAACATTGCTTTCTACCTTCAGAGACAAGTTGTGTTGACTGAATATATATATATATATATATGCATATATAGGCATGCTCTTTATAAAGGGTGTTTTAAAAAACCCACCAAACCCTAAACCAGAAATTAAAAGACACAGTCATGTCTTGTATAAAGCGAGGTCTAGACCCTGTCCTACACCTCTGAGCAATCACGCTTGCCGTAAACGGGTGCTCTGAAGCCATGTACTCACCTCCAGTGCAATACTCCTTACAACATCTCATTTGACAAGGCACATTGGTAATAACACTGGCATCACTGTTGAACGCAAATGCTCGTGTTAAGGTTCAAATAGTCACATTCCACACACTTTATCCAGTGCTGGTTACTCCTCCTTCAGAAACACTTGTGGGTAAATAAACAGCATCTGGTTCTTATGTCCCACAGCAAGGGCTCTCAAAGAGCTTGCTAGTAAAAATATTACCAGAATATATTACATTTTCTGTGTGTTTTGCCCTCGGATTTTAAATAGAAATTTGAAAGCAAACATGATCTTTCACAGGAAAATCGTATAGATAAAACTAGAACTTCAAATGTCTCCTTCCTTGGCAGTTTTTCTACTGACTTTGCCTCTGTCCCAGGAGGGAGATGGAGACTGCGTGCAGCGGTGGAAAAATGCTCCCAGGTTAGAGCTGGGACACAAAGGTGCACATGATTTCACATTCTTCTGTGAATTGCCAGTGACTGTAAGTAACTATTTCTCCCTATCTTTCTGGTTAATAAAGGCAATTTGAACACATGGGAAGGCTGATAATTGGTAAACAAGAGCCTGCTGAATCTGCATATTGTTCTGGTAACACGTTGGGCAAATACAGGTCTGAGGCAGACTTTTTTGTGACTTGGAAACATCATTAATAATTTCATACTGACTCATCAAAACATGATCTGAACTGAGAAAGGGTGAGTTCACCATAAAAAAAGAGGGTTTCTACGTCCCTACTGGAATAAGTTAATCATAGTGGTTTGAGTTCCTGGAAGACACAGATTTTTTGAACAGAAAGAAATGGAGCTGAAATATTATTGATTTTCTATTTTTGGACCTAAGAAGATGATTCCTGACTGGCTAATCTGTGACTGAAGGTTTATTCAATGAGGGAATCGGATTATTGTTGCAGCAAATGGAGGAACAGTGATAGAATTATTATTATGCTACAAATTTAATTAATATATCTCATCTATTTCAAAACAGGACCCCATTTCTGGGTCTTTACAGGATCAGACAAAATCAAGAATATTCAGGAGTCAAAATATTTTTGTAGCAGTCATCAGGCTCAATTAATCCCACACTATCTTAATTGCTTTGCTTAATTTATAGGCTTCAGGTCAACTATTGCTGAAGTCATTGACTGTCTTGGGAGCTGGATCAGTATCTGAAAGTAGGTATGTGTGCTTGTGTGTGAGGAAAACCCACAGAAATAAAGACTGTGCAAGATGAAAAGAACTGGGCAAGGCCAAAGACTCATTTTTCACATCATTCAAATTATCTCATCTCACTGTTGTATGGTGATTTATTGAGACCTCACCCAAAAGAGTGTCAGCATTTTACAGCCTGGCTTTGGAAAGCAGGTAGAGACAGTAGGCGAAGCAACATGCTGCCTCCTGTACCCCAAGGAGGAATGATCTTCCAAGGTGCAGCAGTCCTACTATCACATAGGTACAGCTGCATTACAAGGCTTGAAGCAGGGAGCTTCCATCGCCTCGAGGAAGTACCTCTCATGGTGAGATAAATGCAGATAGAGCAGTGATACTTCTGCAGTTTCGTTTCAAAGTCACCTCACGCAGAGTTCTCTCAAATCAGGAATATTACAATAATACTTTAATAATATAGCACTCAAAACACACATACCATAATATAAAGATTATTTTTCAGAGCCCATAAATCTACCGTGGCTACAACCTGAAAAAAAGCAACCTGTACTAACGGCTGCCTGTGGTACCTGTGTGCTGATATTCTTAAATTCAGGAAAACAGGGTGATGCCATAAGGAAGATATAGTGACCTCTCAGGTTGACCCCTGAAGATTCCATAACACACAAGACTCAACCGAGAAGTTATATTCGAACACTGCCAAACACAGATTTGAAGATGACTTTTTTTGACTTAGAAATACCTTCAATAATTTCATACTGACTCAGAACTGAAATCAGAACTGAAAAAGGGATAGTTCACCAGAAAAAAAGAGCTTTTTAAGTCCCTATTGGAATATTCAAAAACTCATACTCTACCTTTATACCTCCACAACATGACTGTTTTTCCTTGGATGCAGAAGATTCAGATTTGAATGAAGTTCGGTCAACAGGCAGGATTGTGTTGTTTGAAAAAAACCGAGTATTTTCTTTTGATGAAATCTCCATGATGGTATCTCCTGCCTCTAAACCAGAAAACATGGAGAACATTTTAAAAGGGCATCCCATTAGCTCAGCCTCAAAAGCTTGTCATGTGACAGCAACACCCCGCTGTACTGTTTTCCCCTACGACAGCAATTATCAAACTTTACAACAGAATCTGACCAGTGCACTGGATGTTTAATTATGGAAATTTGCAATTCACTTGACTATGATAATGAAGATTAAGTCATACTCAGCAAGCAGTCATCATCTTCATTCTCTAGCTATCACCAATGTGATTTCATTGAACATCTGACCAAGCATTAATGACAGACTAAATGAGCCTTGTTAACGTTTTAAACATTTCTGGAGCCTATATGTAAGATCACTTTTCTAGATGTGACCATGTCTGCAGAGATTTCTCAGAGCTGATCTCTGAATTTCCCATATATCTGGGACATTAGGTAATTAGATCAAAGGAAATCTAGCCCCGTTAATGAGGGACTTGAATTGTTTTAGATTGAAACATTAGCTCTAATCGTCTGATGGTAGCTAATGCGTTACACAAGAATAAAGAGGTTTAGTGCCCTTTACCATTTTAGATAGATCCTAATGGCTCAGTGGTCAATTGTTAACAGGGAAAAATGTGAATTTGCTTCGTTGCAGGTAAATACAAAGAAGTAAAGAAAACCTAAATAGTGCACTTTGAGAACAAAATATATCAGTAATTCTTAAATCTCTACTTACATACTGCAGTACTTTGTTCTTAATTTCAATCTCTAAATCAGATCTGAAAATATTTATGAAATCAGCTTCTGTGTTCACTTTTAAGCAGCACTATGTTTTATAGAACAGCTGGTTGAAAATACAAATAGGAGACATTCCTATTCTTTTATGTTTGTCTAAAGGCACAGATCTTACATAAGTAAAAAATATATATGGGTTTATGTATATATATATACATGTACATACACGTGTTTTCATGACTTCCCAAGGGTCTGTGGAGAAATGTAAGTGAAAATAAAAGTATATCTAGATGCTAAGGTTCAATCATGAAAATACTTGCCTAGGCTCTCTTCATATACGAACGAGGCAAAAAGACTGTGGCTCCGGTACCAACATTTTCACTAAGATCTCTCCATTACATCACAGAATCATGGAATCACAGAATACTTTGGGTTGGAAGGGACCTTAAAGACCATCCAGTTCCAACCCCCCTGCCATGGGCAGGGACACCTTCCACTAGACCAGGTTGCTCATGGTGGCTCCACATGAAATAAGAGCTACTGACTACATAAAAGAGAAATATTTGCATTTGACACAGCCCTGATAGGAATTTCCTTGTCAGCACTAATGAGTATCTAATTATTTTAAATAACAAATTAGAACAGCGTGCGCTTGCTAAAATAAATAAATAAATAACTAGATGAATGAATAAAAATGGTGTGGCGGTGTGGGGTTGGAATGTGACACACCAATGCTTGACAGCAGCATACAAGTTCATGCCACACTGAGTTGATACAATTCTGAAATGGACAGCAAAGCTTAAACAAAATTTACATTCAGCAGTATAAAACATTATTACGGTATAAAAATTATTAACATTTGTTAGCTGACTCTGGATGTCCAACGGAAGTGTGCCAGGAAGGACTGATAGCCATACAAGTTTTAGAGGCCTTAATGTATCCCAAATTGTTCCTATGGCACAGCTGTAAGGAGGTCAGTAGTTTTCTGACCTGGAGCAACCTGCAGCCATATGTGTCAGCACATCAGATATCGTGACAATGCCTCTGAGGGAAACTCAACACAAGACAGAGTGCAGAGCCGTGTGCCCAGTCATACCACAGCCCACCACAATATTAGATTTAAGCTTTCCTCTTTTGTGCAACCAGCGTAAATGTGTGCTTCACTCTTATCAAAACTTGCCCTTTGCCACTTAAGTACTTCTTGGTGCCACTGGTATTATACTGGGAGTATAATTAATACACTGCCAACTGCATTAGAATGTCAGAGGTGGCTCAGGTTTTATCCAAGCAGATACCTGGCTGCCAAGGATGGTCTCTTACTGACTTGGGTATAGTGACAGCTTTAGGTTTTTTGCCCTATCTTGGATACCGTACGTCTCCAGTACCATGAAACGAGGACAGATAGCCTGTGTCAGTTCTTCCTTCCCAGATGTGGCAGGAAGTAATCATAGAATCATTTAGGTTAGAAAAGAACTTTAAGATCATCAAGTCTAACTGTTAGCCTAACTCTGCCAAATCAGCTATGAAACCAGTGCCCCTAAGTAGCACGTCTTTTAAATACCTCCAGGGATGGTGGCTCCACCACTTCCCTGGGCAGACCATCCCAATGCCTGACCACCCTTCCGTGAAGAAATTTTTCCTAGCCTAACTCTGCCAAATCAGCTATGAAACCAGTGCCCCTAAGTAGCACGTCTTTTAAATACCTCCAGGGATGGTGGCTCCACCACTTCCCTGGGCAGACCATCCCAATGCCTGACCACCCTTCCGTGAAGAAATTTTTCCTA